GAGGGGTGTGCACACGCATCAAGCACAGCTCTGCCCCGTGAGGCACAGCCGCCGGCCGCTCCCGGTCAGCTACGCCCAGTGGCCTCGGTGCTTTAGTGTGAGTGGCTTCTCTCCCCGCGGCTCGCTATGTGCTATTTTAAAATGTACAATGAATTCCTGCCCGGAGAGCGGAGTGAGGCAGCAGCCCGGCTGCGACGTCGGGCCTGGCACCCCGACTCCTCGGCTTCCTGGCTGAGGCCACTTGGCCGAGTTCCCTGCGTCCCCTGGGAGGTTCTGGGAGCGCAGGGTCACTGCCCAGCACGCGGCCGCTCTCAGGACTGACCGCCGATTCCTCCCACATCCGGGCTCCTGGCCGGCCCTCGTCTGACCGGACCCCGAATTCCCGCCTTAGGCCGAGGTCGGGCCGTGATAGGCACGAGGCCGCCCAGCAGCTGCCCGGGGCATCGGCGAGAGCGGGCTTTATTTTCATTGTCCATTTTGTTAGTCCTCACCCGAGGATATTGTTTCCATTGATTTTTGGAGAGAGTGGAAGGGAGAGGGAGAGACAGACACACCGACTGGTTGCCTCCACACCCCTCCCCCACCAGGGCCGAGAATTGAGCCTGCCATGGAGGCGCGTGCCCTTGACCAGAATCGAACCTGGGACCCTTCCGTCCGTGGGTCGACGCTGTAGCCACGGAGCCAAACTGGCTGGGGCGGCTCAGGCCTCAGAGTCTGGTTTGAACCCTGACTCCGCTGTGTGACCGTGGGCGAGCTGCCTGCCCTCTCTGAGCCGGTGTTCTCCTGGCTGCAGTGAGTGAGTGAGGGTGGAGGCAGGATGTGAGCACGCAGCAGGGCACACAGCAGCCCCCGTGACGCGGGGCCCAGGCTGGCCTCACGCCTCCTCACACCACACGGGCGGCCTGAGACGCTGGGCCCAGGGGGTGTGTTGACTCCTTCCCGGTCCGCACGCCGGCCCCGCCCCAGGTCCCACAGAGGGGCTTCCACGGGACGCCAGGAACTTGTAGCCATGGCCCCCCACCCCTCCGAGCTTACAATCTAATTAAGACAACCTGAACCTCAAAATAGAAGCGTCCCCAAATAGTGCGGCCTTCCAGTCCAGCCAGGAGGGCCCTGCCCGGCCCTCCCCTCCGTGCTTTGGCAATGGCCTGAAATGGTGAAGGTTAGGCCGACGTTTCCTGATTTAAAGGGCCACGTGCGGAGGGCCCTGCGAGTTTAAGATTGAGGAACACGCGGAGCCGCTCTTTCTCACCCAGGAGCCGCGTGGAGGTTGATCTTTAACCGCGGCAGCGCCGGTGGAGATTCCTCCACGAGGTAACTCAGTAACACCAGGCGTTGCATCTTATTATCTTTTAAAAATCAACCTGACCTTTCACTCCGTGTTGGAGAGCCAGGCGCCCAGCAGCCCGGCACAGTGTCCGCTCTGCGGAGCGGGGCATCCGTGCAGCCTCTCCTGGAAACGGGGTCACGCACATCGGGGTCATCGCGGGCCGGACTTGATTGTGCGGAGAGGTGATCGAGGCAGAGAGCCCGGGGTTAAAAGATGGATTGGTGGCTCTGAGGGAAAACAAAGAAAGAAGAAACTTCACTAGACAGTCTCCTCAAGTTAGGGGCGCCGGCCGCCCTGGCCATGGCGTTCTCGGAGCTCCTGGAGCGAGCTGGGGGCGTGGGCCTCTTCCAGACCCTGCAGGTGCTCACCCTCCTCCTCGCCTCCGTCCTCCTGCCCTCCCACATGCTCCTGGACAACTTCTCGGCAGCCCCCCCGGGCCACCGCTGCCGGGCCCACATGCTGGACAGCAGCTCTGAGGCCCCCGCGAACCTCACGCGGGAGGCCCTTCTGCTCATTTCCATCCCACGGGGCCCCAACCAGGAGCCCCAGCCGTGTCGCCGCTTCCGCCACCCACAGTGGCAGCTCCTGGCGCCCAATGCCACGGCCACCAACTGGAGCGAGGCTGCTACGGAGCCGTGCGTGGACGGCTGGGTCTACGACCGCAGCACCTTCACCTCCACCGTCGTGGCCGAGGGAAGCCCCCCGCCCCCCGCCCCCCAGTAGCTTTCCTCCTTCCGGCCTCCCAGGGCCGGCCGGCCACCTGCAGTGAAACGACATGCCACTCCCTCAACTTGCTCATGACCGATTCTGATGTGCGGCCAGGGCCACAGGCCCAGCAGGAGCCTTAGGATCGTACATTCTGTTGGCGGATTCGGAATCAGTCAACATTTAAACCCTTAATAACAGCGGAGCCAACCTCACCTTCTGCCTGTGCCGTGGCAGGCACTGTTCCGATGCTCTCCCTGCCGCACTCCCTCACTGTGATCTCACGGGCTGGGCGTATTATTTCCCCATTTAATAGAGGACCAAACAGAAGCACAGAGAGGTGTAGTGACCTGCCCCAGGACACACAGCTAAAGCGTCCTGGGGGCCGGAACCTGGTTCCCGGTCCCTCTCCTGTCCCGCCTCCAGTCGTGAGTGAGCACCAAGGAGACAGGCAGGCCCTGTGAGGGGGGAGGGACAGGCAGGTGGGAAGGCCTCTCTGAAGAGGGGACATTGGAGGTGAGACCTGGAGGTGGGGCAGCCTGGTCCAGGCCGAGGTTGGAGTGAGAGCCCTGGGGGCCTTGAGGGAGCAGGAGGGTGCTGCTCCCTGAGCGGGAGGACGGAGCCACGTGGGGGAGGCGGGGCGGGGGGCGGGGGGGACGTCGCTGAGGCTCTGGGGCAGGCAGTGCTGCGGCCTGGTTGCGTTTTCCGGAGGTCACTTTGCAGGGGGACCATGCCCCTCAGGGGCGGGGCTCCTGCTGCCGTCACCCCGTCACCCCGGAGAAAGACAGGAGCTCAGCTGTCAGGCTCCTGTAAAGGACTGACCGGGAGGGGCGGGGCGGGGTCAGAGGTCAGGGGTGGGTGCTGGCCCTGGGCCGGAGGCACAGCCTGTGAGAAGCAGCTGTAGCCCCATCCAGACGAG